TAGCCCAAGTTACTTCTCATAACATTAGCTAGCTGCCAGTGAAAGTCCGGTCAAAATCAGTCCAGCCGTTTCGGAGATTAGCCGGAACAAAAAGACAGACAAAAATTTTAAAAATAGTGTCTTTGTTATAAGTAAAATATATGCGAATAGCATATTTCGACATTACAAACAGACACTTCAATTTTATTTATTTGTATAGATTTTTATATACATTTGGAGTTTTTAGAAAAGTTATAAGGCATAAAATTCTCTTCAAATTTCGTCTCTGGCAAAATGCTATAAAAATTAACCGTTCTCTAGACGGAACGCGAAAAGTGAGAAAAGCTTATCTATTATATATACATAATAGATGTATTACATATAATAAATCTGTAGAAAAGTTGTGTCTATAATTCTAAGATATTCTTGAATAAACAAGTCCAGGGGACTAAATAAAGGTTTCTGAATCCAAATTAGTGGTTTTTAGAATTTTGTCTGTCTGTCTGTCTGTCTGTGTATTCCGGATTGACGCAAAAACTACTGGACTGATTTACATGAAATTTTGTATTTAGGTAGTTAGTAACCCGGGGCAACTTATAGGCTACTTTTTATCCGATTACAGTATTTTAAAAAAAGAAGGTTAAGTATTTTCCTTCCTTTAGATATTAATTTTCTATTATATCTTAGTTATTGTTGCAAGCAAGCAGGCTTAGTTCTGCAGCATATGCTGTAAGAAAGATTAGAAGTCTCACAGATGTTGAGACAGCTAGGTTAGTGTATTTTAGTTACTTTCATAGCGTAATGTCTTATGGTATTTTGCTATGGGGCAATGCGACTGATATTAAAGCTATATTTGTTTTGTAAAAAAGAGCCGTACGGGCGATTTATAACCTAAATTGTAAAGAATACCTCAGACAAAAATTTAAAGAAATAAACATATTAACTTTGGCATGGCAATATATTTATGAAAATGTAATGTATGTACATAAAAACATACTAAATAGCTTTAAGAATAATAAGGATGTTCATACCTTAAACACTAGGAGCAAACGTAAGCTTGTAATGCCAGTTACTAGACTCCACAGATTCAGTAATTCATTTATGGGGCAATGTATACGCTTTTACAACAAAATCCCAGAACATGTTCAAAGTTTGTCAATAAACAAGTTTAAAAGTTTTATTAAAGAAAAACTGTACAAAAAGGGTTATTATAATATCAAGGAATACATGAATGAAAATAACCCCTGGGAATAAGGTGAACGCCACCATGCTGGTTCTATGAAAACTTATTTAAAAATTGTATAAACGAAATTGTTTGAAAAAAAAGTCCCGCTGGGTTTCTTGCTGGTTCTTCCCAGGACAGAGGTATTTTCCGAACCAGTGGTAGATAAAAAAATGACTTTCAATAAGAATTATGTTCTAATCGATCTTGAATAAATAATTATTCTGTTCTGTTCTATTCTATTCTATTCTATTCTATTCTATTCTATTCTATTCTAAAGCGGGATTACAAGTGTTTTTCAAATAAATACCAGATTTATAAATAAAGTTTAAGATATAGTTATTTATAACCTTGGTAGTATAATTTAAAACTACACCGATTTGGTTATCAAAATAGCGCCATCTATCATCAAATGGAAAAAGTAGTATATTTTGCTTTCAGTTATTAATAAATTAAATAATATAAATAATTTACATTTATATGTTTAAATAATTAGATTTTTAAAATTATTTAATAATTCTAACGTTTAGTTTTTCAGCAATTTTGTTATTTTCTTTTAAAAGTGTAAAAATTTCAATAGATAATAGTGACGTCTATCAAAAATATGAAAATTTACAAGGTTTTTATTTCAATTACTAAACTATAATATGTAAAATGACCAAAACCGGTTTGGCTGCAATTAATGCAAAATTTTTATTATCATTAAATTTTTATTATTTTTTTATATTAAAGTTGAATTGATCATATATCATAAAGTACTCGTAGCATTTCTTGAAATGGTGTGGGCATTTCATGATATTTAACACTGTTTCTTGACCATGTCATGATATAGCTTGACCAAATAATTGAATAGAAATCGTTTGAAGATATTAATAACTTAACTCAACGTTACTATTTCATGATATAGTCATATGACGATATCATTAAATCTAGCGGCGCTGATACCGTATTTTTTAACAGAAACAAAACCTTTAACAGAATTGCCATCACTTTATGCCTTATTATTACAATAAATATATTAGTTTTCGCTTCTGTCGCTGATATTACTAGATAGTATAGTTCTGACTTTCATTGTTTCATCTAATACTAGCGCCATCTACTACTTAATGAACTAAAATGGTAAGTCACTGATAATATTAAATACTAGAATGCTACTAAATATATGATGTAAATAATTAGAATTTGTTCGTGGCATCGGTGGATGTCTTATTACTAGGTAGATATGGTCAACAATCATGCAAAAGTATAGTTTCAGCGTTTATGAAATGTATTTAAACAAATACAATTCATAAATTTCATATTTTCAGACATATTAAGATAATTGTGGCAGTCCTGGTTTCATAGCTCATATGAGTATATGTAATAGAACAGGCTCTTACGGAAAGACTTATTTTATTTTACTTGTCAAAGTAATCAAACTGATTAAAACTTAAATTTCATGGTACGTAAGTATTATTATAAATTTTGGCATACATTTTAGTTGCAATCTGAAGTGTCAATTTACCACCTTCTCGGGGGTGAAGGAAAACCTGCATATCTGAGAAGTTTCCCAGTTGAGGTCATCCCGCGTTGGAATCAGCGCAGCGAACACTTTTTTGGCCAAAAACTCTTTGCGGCCTGAAAAACCTGAAAAAAGTAGCAGCTTACATACATGTTACTACTGGGCAGTAACATGTATGTAAGCTGCTACTTTTTATACTTTCATGGGGCACTAAATGTAAATGTATAGAATAATTATTTCATTCATATTTTCGGGTATGTTAATTTTTTGTTTTTACTCTACCGTAAATATTAAGGGTTGCAAAGATGAGTAGAACTCATTATCGTCAGCCTATTAAAAGTCCTCTGAAATGAACAGAGTCTTCCCGCATAAATTGTCAAGTAGCTGGATATTTGCTATAGTTGCCACGCTTGGTAGGCGGGTTGGCAGCCGCAGCTATTATTATTTTGATCTGTTGTCAAAAAGATGGTACAGTCCATCCCATCTCCTGTTTGTTTTCCTATGTTGCCTCTAACGAAGGGACGATATGAGGTTGCGGATTTTCTTTCACCGCCACAACAAGGCGAACAATTTTATACTCCCGTTCATGAGTGAAGTGCTACCCACCTTCACTATGAATAACATTTATAAGAAATAAAACTAATTTTAAGGCTTTCATCGCGTTTAATTTTAACCTTTTCAATTTCCGATGTTTTGGGCACTTTACTGCACGGCCGCTCACAGATCACGGTAGGACTGAGGTGTTTGACGACCTGATGTCATAGTTAGAATAGAATAATAGAATAATAATAATAATAATGTCCTCCAGACCGAATTTCGGCCATGCCGGCCAGTCTCAACGGAGACTAGCCATCGGCGCAGGACAGGATTAAAGTGCCCAAGTGTATGCGCAAGCACAGGTGCACTCTCTATTCCCTCACTCTCATAGCCCGATGGGACGGTAAACCGACACGACCGGAAAGAGATCAGGCGCAAGACCAACGGCTTTATGTGCTTTCCGAGGCACGGGGGTGAACTTTCTGACTCCGGGCAGCTACTGAGAATTTTTTGATGGAAAAACTCAGTAGCTGATTTTATGGCCCGACCCGGGATTCGAACCCGGGACTAGACCAACGAGGCAGTCAAAGAATAGAATAGAATAGAATAAGAATAGTATAGAAAGAATAAATGCAGTAGTATGCTTGGGTTTGAATATTAGTTTATTAAGTATGGAGTCCTTAGCAGATGGCAGCACTCAGCCATCTTCCCTATTAAAATTAGGATGTTTTTTAATTTCAATAGCCTCGCGAATCATCATTGGTAGGAATCGATGTTTTATTGTAAGGATTTGTTGTCTATCAGATATGATCTAATGGTTGGGACGATACATGTTGACATACTTTAAACTTCCTGAAGCGTCCATGCTTCACATCAACGATATGGTCTTTCACGAAGGTTTTTATGGAACTTTCAGTTAAAGACGCGTAAAAACCCAACGTAGAAAAATTAAAATTAAAATTAAACTTGATAAAATCCGTAACATTAGTTTTATTCCATGTGTAGTATACATCATTATAGAACTGCGTTTATGCAATTTTGAAATCTACTCGAACGTAAAACAAATATCTACTGTGTACACCTATTTTAGTGTGCCAATCTATATTAAATAGGACCAATGATATGAACAAAATATCTCATATAGACATTATATCATAAATTGATAGAAGATCATGAAATTCATCATTATTTTGTTAAAACTAAATTAATTTTAATTATGAATTAATGTAAAGAGTAAAATATAAATAATAATAATAAATTTTTATTCCAAGAAAATTTATTTTTCTTATAGATACATTTACACGGAGGACACTCGCTATATAAAAAATAGTAGGTGTTTCTAGACATATATTTACGTGTTCCTGTAGCATATTACATCTATGCCAAATACCAATAACCTACGTCTAATAGTCTTTTATAATTCAAAAAATATTTTCGACAGACATTAAGACAGACACCGGGACTCTAAAAGTAATCAAAATTCGCTAAATTTGGCACGGAACAGCATTTAATGATGTTCCTAATTAAAGCTCACGCGAGCGAAGCCGCGGGTAAAAAGCTAGTGTGTATATAATATAATAAATCTAGGTCAACTTTAACAATTTCCGATATTTATTTATTTATTTAGTATTTATTGTAAGACCTTACAAATGAGGTAAAAATGGGGGGGACTTAATGCCTGTCGGCATTCTCGGCCAGCTAACCCGTAGCGTGGTGAGCTATTGTGGCATGTTGCAGCATATTGTGGCGATATTATATGCAATGGGGTCAAGTCAACAAGACTCAACACACCGGTGCAATTATGATCTTATCCACCTACAAGTGCTGCAGCTCTACAATATATCACCCGAGTATACTGCAGATATGCGCTTCCATTTTCCCTCTCTTTATCTTGAGAACGGTAAACTTTATATCTTGACTAGCGTACACAAGATTCTATGAGACCTTTGAGGCAACTTTATAAGGCAAAACAAAATATTTATGCAACTTTATAGTAATTATCTCTCATACCGAGGTTTACTCGTATTTTAAAATTTTGACTGGGCTAAATGTTCTCACATCTCAGTTCAAACAGATAAAGTGAACGCATTATTTCTATTTAATTTGTAGTCGTCATTGTAATACTAAAATTTTTCATGAAAATAAGAACATATAAATTTGTACGTTATTTCCTGTTTAGGCGTGTGTAAGAATCTACTACCTCATATCGTCTCGTGGATTTCTACTAAAAAATTAAAAAAATAATCATACGTGGTAGAGCCATACTGCAGCTATATTAATAATATAGCTGTACCTCGAATGGGTAGATGTCTATGATATGATAGATGTAGATGTTTATGCCTCAGCAACCGCTTACCATCAGGTGGACTGTGTGCTCGTTTGTCACCCTATTTCTATAAAAAAAAACGTTGAGACAGCTAGATTACTTTATTTTAGTTACTTTCATAGCGTGATAATAATTCATAGCGGGGTAATGCGACTGACATCGAAGCTATATTTGTTTTGCAAAAAAGAGCCGTTTGGGTGATTTATAACTTAAATTGTAATGAGTCCCTTGAAGAAAAGTTTAAAGAAATGAAGATATTAACTTTGGTATCGCAATATATTTATGAAAATGTAATATATTTACATAAAAACATACATCGCTTTGATAAGAATAAAAATTTTAATACTTTAAAAACTAGGAACAAACATAAGCTTGTAATACCAGTTATTAGACTCCACAGAATCAGTAAGTCATATAATGGGGCAATGTATACGCTTTTACAACAAAATTCCAGAAAATGTACAAAATAATCTTAAATATTAATTAGGTCCTTACATATGAAATTAGCGTTTTGTCGTACTGACCACTTTGATCTGAAATATCTCCTCTTTAGTTAAGAACTCCAAATTCAAATTTATAAATTCATTTAGCTGGTACATTTGAGTTTTGAAAACAGTCATTCATTTGTTTTCTCCTCATTATTTTTTTCTTTGGTGTCGCTTGTTACCGCACAATGGAAAACATGAAATATCGGTATATTTACGAGTACGAGTTCTACCGTGGCAACAGTGCTGCTTAAAGAGCTCGAGGGATTAATGAAGCAAATCGGGAAGTAAAAAAACTTGAACGATGGGTACCTAGGTCATGAATTGAGTGAATCGAACTTGCAAGCACGCGTCGACTGCTGTGTTACTTTGCTCAACCGACACAATAATGAAGGAATTTTAAATCGAATCATTACTTGTGATGAAAAGTGGATACTGTGCGATATCCTACCCTAAATGAAAATTGGCTCAGAAAAAGTTACTTGTGAGTGTTTAGTGGACTGGCGCCGGTGTCGTTCACTACAGCTTTCTAAAATCTGCCCAAACGATTACGGCAGATATCTATTGCCAGCAACTGCAAACCATGAAGGAAAAACTAGCTGCTAAACAACCGAGATTGGTCAATCGCTCTAGGTCACTGCTGCTTCACGGCAACGTAAGACCACACACTGCACAACAAACAACCACTAAGTTAGATGAGCTACAACAATGCTGTCTGTGACATCCCCCGTACTCCCCGGACCTTGCTCCAACAGATTAACATTTTTTCCGAAATTTGAACAACTTCTTACAAGGAAAAAAATTTAACTCCGATGCGGCAGTCCAAACCGCCTTCAAAGAGTTTATTGATTCTGGCCCCCATGGTTTTTTTTTAATAAAGGGATCAATGAAAAATGCACTTTGCCAGCTCATAGGTAGATGAGCTGGCAAAGTGCAAGTGGTTGCTGCGGCCCATAGACATCTACATCTATCCTCTATTACAAATCAAAATACAGATGCGTTGTCACCCGTGAGGACTAAGATGGAATGCCTCATTTCCAGTAAAAAAGGCCTCCGGCCACCTGCACTTACCACGCGGAACGCAGCGGTAAACCTCTACTTCACGTTGGTGTTCTGTGAGGTCGTGGTACCACCCCGGTTCGAGCCGGCCCATCCGTGCGACGACAGCAAAAGCTGCCGCGTGGCTCTACCACTGTTAAAATAGATAACAACGGTGCATACTTTGATTAATTAAACATATTTTACAAAAAAAAATTACTTTATGTTCCTCCCTTACAAAATGCCAATTTCATATGTAAGGACCTAATATTTTATTAAAGAAAAATTGCACAAAAAGGGTTATCATCATATTATGAAAGTATACATAAGTGAAAAAACCCTGGGAATGAGGTGATCGCCACCATTCTGGTTATATTAAAACTCATCATCATTTAAAATTTGTAGAAACAAAAAAAATTATTCTAAAGAGAAATATGTTTTTAAAAAATACTCCCGCTGGGTTTCTTGCTGATTCTTCCCAGGTATTTTCCGAACGAGGGGTAAATAAAAAAACATACTTTCAATAAGTAATAATCTATATTGAATAAAAAAATATTCTACTCTATTCTAATGTCATTGCCGTAAGATCGGCAATAACATTGACCCTTAACATTTGCATAGGTAAATAAAACACCGTCAAGAAGTAATTTTCAACCACAATTATTCGAGCGCTCTGCAAGTAACCATGATTTCCGTGAACGGTCTTTTAATTTTATTTAAATGTTTTATTTACTTGTTAATTGTGGTATTTACCTCATTTACGTGTCTAGTGGTTTTGTTAAAAATTTGGCTGGAGCCAAAGACAGGAATTTGCAAATGCAAAACACGATTATATGGCAAAGTAGCTCTTATTACTGGGGGAAACTCTGGCATCGGATTAGAAACCGCCAGAGACTTAGCAAAAAGAGGTGCGAGGGTCATAATTGCTTGCAGGAATGCCGCGAAATCTGAGCAAGCAGTCACTGATATAATTGCTACTACGGGGAATACAAATGTAGAGTACAGAAGTTTGAATCTTTGTAAATTCAACAGTGTGAGAGATTTCGCTGAGGATTTCAATAAAACAGTGGATCGTTTGGATATTTTGGTCAATAATGCTGGATGTGCTTGTCTGCCTGACCGTACTTCCGACGACGGTATAGATCTTGTAATGCAAACAAATCACTTAGGACCGTTTCTCCTTACAAATTTGCTTATGGATAAACTAATATCATCGAAACCAAGTCGCATTGTAATCGTTTCATCTTATCTCCATAATTTTGGTCGTTTGGATCTTGAAGATATTGCTGGCATAAATACAAAAGGAGACTTCCTTAAATACGCAAACAGTAAGCTTTGTAACGTTCTTTGGATGAAAGCCTTGGCGAAAAGACTTCCGAAAGGTGTTATTGTCAATGCATTGCATCCAGGATTGGTAAAAACCGATATTTTTAAAAGGTTACCATCATATGTAAGGAAAATTATTAACATTTTAACGGATTTAATGTTTAAGAATTCTAAAGAAGGTGCTCAAACTACTATACATCTGTGTGTTTGTGAAGAACTAACTGGTTTTACCGGCGGGTACTATAAAGACTGCAAGCTCCATCCATACCACAAGATATGTGACGATGCCGATTTTGTTAATATGTTTTGGGATAAGTGTCTTTTACTTACTTCGAGAAGAGAACGAGATTTGTAGCAAATGATAATTTGTTGTGACATTAATTATTTTTAATTAAAAAACTCTTTTGTACTACTACTATTCGTGATTTACAGTTTCCAAAATATTAACGAGTACAACAATGGACTTTTAGTTTTTGTATCTCTTAATTAATAGTTGTCAATTATCAATTGCTTACTGTTTTTTTTATTTCACAGTTTAATTTAATACCGCCAGTGTTCAATTAATATTTATTTTTTATGCTAAAATAGCGATCAGTATCAAATAATTTAATTTTTATAAGAAATCGTATATAACTTTTAGTCTGTTACCCTAGGATAAGAATGATGGTTGTATATGAAAATATACCAACGATTTATTTGACTGGAGATGACATATGCATTCTCACCCCTGAGGTCTAAGTTGAAACACCTCGTTCCCAGTAAAAATGATCTCCGATTCGGTTCCGAACGGTTGTGTTTAGTTCAAGTATGTTTATATCCTCATCACCATCGTCATTGCAGTCCATAATAAGTCCGTTGCAGAATAAGTCTCCCCAACCACCTTATTTCAACTACGTAATATTTCATTCACACATGAAGATATGCCGACCTCTTCGCCGTAGTTGGACTGAGCTAGTCGGATGATTTGTCCTAAGTGTAAAGGGCGGTATAAAAGCCTTACAATTGACCTGTTAGTGATTTGTGGTATTAACTGGAGTACTGAAGGAAAACTTAACCATCTGTTTAGCCATCTGATTAATAGATACAGTCTGGCGGAGTCAGTCGGGGTAGATATCACCCTCTTGCCTATTTTTGCCATCAAATAGCAGTGCTTGCAAGGCTTTGTTCCGGTCAGAAAGTAGATCTTCAGAGAGCTAGTTTAATGGGAGTCTGTTAGGTATCCTATCTTAGTCCAAAGAAGGTTACATACTGTAGCCTTCTTTGTTTGAAGTTGATTATAGTCATAAATGGATGCAGTACCCACTTACCATAAAATCGCTGTAAATTCGTTTGTCACTTCATTTTTATTTAAAAGAATTATGATAGATACCTCAGAAAAGTTTTCGCACCACACTTAAGATACCTGAAAAATTGTAATCTCATTGGCACGCTTGCAGATAGGTTGGCAGCCTCAGTTTTTTTTATTTTCTAGTAATTATAAGGAAGACTCTGCTAACCAATCTCCTAGTTTAATTCCCTTTATCGCCTCTTACGACACCCGTATGGTTTTTGTCTTTGGATTTATTTAGATTGAATTGAATTATTGTATGATATACTTATGTATAGAATACGATCTATATATATATATATATATATATATATATATATATATATAACGTGTCTCATTGTTTGTCCGCGATGAACTCCTAAACTACTGAACTGATTTCACTGAAATGTTTCACAATGTGTGCAGTTTGGTCCAACTTGAGAGATAGGATAGTTTTTATCCCGATAAGTGCCCTCAATTTCTTTTATTGTGAAGTTAAGGAATTTTTTTAGCAAATCTCGAGAGCAGCTGAATTTATTTCGCTAATTCCTTTTTTATAATATTCCTTGAAGTACGAAGATGGTCCTTACTGAGAGAAAAATTTAAAAAATTGCCTGAAAAAGTATAAAAACAACACTTTTCTATATTCCCATACAATAGATACGTTATAATACATAAAAGTCAATTTGAACTTTAATACCATACCATAAAGTTTAAGTGTTAGTGGAGGGGTTTCGGGAAGGCAAAACAATTGAGTGACGTTAGTATCATATAAATATTAATGTCAATATTTAAAAGAATTTTAAGTGTTTTATAATTTTTATTTTTTGACATAATGTAATTGTTATCGACTTTCTTTTTTCTTTTTTTATCTTACTAGCTGACCCGGTGGCCCGAAGAGCAAAATAAGCATTAAAAAAAAATGAATCGACTGTTAGGCCGCGTCAGCTAGTAATATATACTCATACTAGTTGGCCAGGCAGACGTTGTTCTGCTCTTTTCGACGATCCTTCAGATAAAAAATCCTTAAATTCGTAATAAAAAAATATTGAGCGTCACTTATCAGGATAAAACTATCCTACGTCTGAAGTTGGACCAATCTGCACAGAGTGTGCAAAATTTCATTGAAATCAGTTCAGTAGTATATGAGTCCATCACGGACAAACAACGTGACACGTAATTTTATAATATAGTACGTACCTGTTTCCGACTCTTAGATCGCCCCAAGGCTCGGTCAGGCCGTAAGTGGGTATGAGGTGCATGGCAAGAAGTGTTTAGTGATGTGTAAATGTCTGAGACCTGGACCAGCTTAGGCGACCAACAGCGGCCGAGTTCCAGGCTGCCCCACAAATCTGCATCGCTCCAGCAGGCTCCACCGCTGGACCATTTCTTTCTTCATTGTCACTATTTCAGTCTATTAGCTTCATTGTACATTTAACTAACTTAAACTCGCCTAATTCCACATTCATCGTAGAATCGAATACGTGATACCCGACACAGTAAGGGACTCACTTATCACAAAATTATAAATAGGGAACTAACGCGATCTCTTAATGAGTCAACGGTTCAGCGTTAAACACAACTAAGTTCCTTCATTCGACACCAAAACACCACGTCGCGAAAAGAATTCAAAATACGCCTCGTTGACACGTAAGCTAACAAACCAACCAATACACAACAAAGGGCACTTAACGCGACGGCACAATTATAATGATTTCCAGACCATCAACCGGGAGATGCTCTCGACCAAGGAATGCGCAGTTCGAATCCTAGACCGTATATCTACTCGGCGCGCGCGTGCACAATTCCGCATCACCCGAACAAGTTAAATATTGCAAAATTCACATATCCACGTAGCGAAGTAACACGCACTAACTATCTGAACCCTACACGGTCGCGTGAACTTCGGCCGCGATAATCGAGATACGCGGATTCACCGCATCGAGGCCAGCGAGCTACCCTCTCCTTCGCCCACGCGTCGAGCCACACAAGCCGCACACCGCCGCCCCACCTGGCGGCGTTTATCTCACCTACATACCATCGGGTGACGTGGCAGCTCGAACGCAATTGGATGGCGTTCAACATGACCAAATTTGGGCATAAACAATATACATAATGCACTTTTGATGGATGGCGCAAATATTCGTGCATTACAATATAAAGTACCGGAAAATATAATAAACAGATCGTTAGCAATTCGTTCGCAAATATATGGTACGCTTTCCCGATGATGGTTATTTCAAAAATCCTAAAACAAACAACAACGGTTACCACTTTATCACAGATACGACGCTTTGCTAGAGTAAAACCTGAGCTGAGCTGAGCACGCCAAGCTTTTATTTTTTGCGCATAAAAGTTTAAATAAATAAATAAAAAGTAAATACTTTTGGTGATTTTCTGTGTGGCTTCGAATCCCGCATAGGCTACAAATAATTGTTCTGGTTCTAGTAGTCAATCGACGGCTTTAACTCGGTTGGGCAGCGTTCGAGTGATTACAACATCTTCTCATCAGATATACTTACCTCAAAACTTAAAAACAAGATTGTACAATCAATGCGTAGTACCAGTGATGACTTATAGATTAAACACTTGGTCCTTCATTGCTGACCGAATGAGGACGCTCAAGATCTCTCAGCGAGCTATGGAGAGGGCTATGCTCGGGGTTTCTTTGCGTGATAAAGTTAGAAATGAGGATATCCTCAGTAGAACCAGAGTGACCGACATAACCCAACGGCTTAGTAAGCTGAAGTACTGGTAGGCGAAGTATAGGGGGAAATTTTAAGTTTTATTTTATACTGGCGACCCGCCCCGGCATTGCCTGCGTGGGGTTTATTAATGTGGTGTCATTTATATTTAAGATAATCATCAAAGACCACGTAATATATTTTAGGCTCAATTAAAGGCAGGTATTTCGTTAGTACAAACAGATTAGTGTTGCCCAAAATCGGTCTTGGTCTTGCAGTCTTGGTCTTGTTCTTGCATTTTTGCAAGACCAAGACCAAGAACAAGACCGCCTATTTTTAGCAAGACCAAGACCAAGACTGACCGTGCAAGATTTGCGCAAGAACAAGACTTGCGAGACTCTTGCGTCTTGCATTTAGGTCTGAGTGTCGTTTGAGGGAGTATAGGAGTTCGGGTATACGCTTAGGGACTCTATGAGACGCAAAAAAATATAATAAAAAAATGGAAAATTGAACTTATGCGTATTACGAACAATACCATGAACATACATAGCGAATGAAAATATCGATTTAAAGAAAAAAAGAGTGCATCCCTAGTTTTGATCATCAGCACTTTGATAGTGCGCGGCGTCTTGTTGTCGGAGTCATGAAAGGTCGGATACTGACCTGTCAAAGAAATTGTGCAGCTATTCGAAAGTACAAGGTCAAGGTGCCGGCGGGTACTATTGATATCGCATACAATCGTCGCCGCCGCGCCGCACGCACTACATTTGACACTGTTTGATTGCCGCCACAGAGTACATGTTCCAAAGAATAAAATAAGTTTACGGGCTCAGAGTGGACACGAATACGTTATGCTCATCTCGCAAGGAATATTGTAATTAGATAATGGTAAAGATATGTAGATATCATAAAAATTTAATCTAGTAAGTAATTATTATAACATTAACTATATGGGTTTATAATAAATACTCTGGCTTGTAAACACGATAACTTTTGAAAGTATCAATTGTTTAACTCAATCTATTTTTTAATCTCTTCATCTATCATGTGGGAAGCCACTGAATGTAAATGGCAGTGTAATTTTGTTTTGTTTAGCTATAATTAATTTTTTTCGGCTCCAAAATGGCGAAATTTTCGTTGATTTGGTAGCCTCGTATATAAATAATTTCTGTAAATGGGGAGCTACAGCACTTTTACACAGACTTTGAACGCAAACAGTCATCCGATCCGTTTGTCTCAGTGCTATTACGTAAACTTTAAACTTGAAATCTGAAATTTGAAATTTTAAACTTTAAATTTTAAACTTTAATCTTTAAACTTAAAATTAAAAATTCATTTTTTTTAAAGTAAAGGTTACGTTCTGAC